GATGGGTGGGTTGGTGGATGGACAGACAGATGGATGGATGGATGGATGGATGGATGGATGATGGACAGATGGATGTGGGCTGCATGGTTTGGCCGTTACATTTTTGTTGGTTTTAACCCCACCGTTGCTGAAAACCTTGGAGCCCCACAAGGGCCGGGTCCTCTGCACCTGCCCCGGTCCCCCCACCGCAGGCGGTGCCTGTGGCCAGGTAGCGACCTGCGAGAACCATTTGGGTCCTTTCCCACCCCTGCAGGCGCCTGGTGGGGTCTTCAGAGCAGCTGCTGACACCCCCGAACGAGTCCGAGCTCTTGCAGTGCCTGAACTTGGCCTACATGTTGCTCAAGTATTTCTTGGTGGGACCCATGACGTCATCGTTCAGCTCCATGATGGAAATGCTGCGGATTCTTGGGCCGTTTGTCAGCAAAGAGGGCTTGCTCCAAGCGAACAAGGTTGGTAGTGTCTGCCATGAAGGTTTGGCCTCCTGGTGGTGGCCCAGGAGAGCCTGGAGCTTCTGGGTCACTCTTCTCTTCTTTGGTTTCTCAAGGAGTTCCAGCAGTTGACATCAATGGAAATGTTCCAAGAGTTTTCAAGTTTGGTCAGGCCGTGGCTTGAGAAGACCTTTCACAAGGCACCCACTGACGTGAAAACCTTCCTGAAGACCTTCGAGGTGAGTGACGAGACCAACGGGGAACCACAACCCTTGGTAGATCCCGGGGGTTCCTCAAGGTCCAGCTGACGGCTTTGGCTCTGCAGGACTGGCAGCAGCTGCTCACCACAGAGCTCGTCTGCGCGGGGTGGACTGAGGAGTGGCAGGGCTTGATCCTTGATGTCTTTGAGAAGTGGCTGAGGAAGGTGAGTCCTGGAGACCTTCCAGCTGGTGGGGAATGATGCTCCCGGGCTTCGCCATGCCCGGTTTTTGCCTCCTGGCACCGTTTTGGGCGTGGGCAGCTTGGTAAGGACCCAGAAGCTCCTGAAATGTTTCTTGGCCGTAGATTAATGACAAATACCTGGTGGACTTCTTCTGGGCTTTCCTGAAGATGGAGAAGCACTGCGACCCCCGTCTGGAGAGCTGCTTCACCGATTGCATCATCCAGTGGGTTAGGCACCTCGACAAAAATGAGGTAGGAGAGCTTCCACCCCTCCCCCTGGGGGCCGCCGGAGGCCCTCTGCCGTCCCAATTCTACTCCTCCACATTGGGTTCAGCTCTTCCCCACACAATGGCAAGTCCTCCTCCCCAACGAGGAGAAATTTCTCGTCCATCCAGGAGTCCAAGATGAAGCCCCTGATGAACGTCTTCAAGACGAAGAAGCCGGTTGCTGGGAAGGTGCTTTCCATCCTCGTGGAGAAGATTTGCTCGGAGGTGAAGGGGCTGGAAAGAGTTGACACCTTTGATGAGGTCACCAGCCCCATTCTTGCCAACCTCCTCAACACTCCCGGGCTCTTCGAACTCATTTACGCCATCCGTGAGTGTCCTCTGAGGTGTCCTCCTGGGAGAAGCTCTTGGATTGGGAGCAGAGCTTGGGGGAAAGACCCAAGTGTTTCCCAGGGATCTTCCAATTCCATTGGTGACACAAAACAAAGTGGGGGGGGAGGGGCGGGAAATTACTCTTCCGTGCTGGAAAAATGAAATTTCCTTCCAGGGCTGGAGAAGATCCTTGGTTTCATCCCAGGCTTCTTGATTTCGTTGTCCCATCGCGACACTGCTTTGTCACGCGTTTGATGAGGGGCTTGGTGTTGAGGAGAAGGAGGGGATGGAGCCAGGGTTGTCCACACAAAGGCAGTCAAGTCTCCTAGGTGGCCCCCATGGTCTCCTACGTGGCCTCCATGATTTCCTAGCTGGCCCCCATGGTTTCCTAGGTGGTCTCCATGATTTCCTAGGTGGCCCCCATGGTTTGTTTCAGGCAGGGGGAGATACCTGGGTTTCCCAGAGGAAATCTGGGGTTTTCCCAAGATGCTGGTTTTGATGCTTGAGCTAAAGAGCAACCACTTGTCTGTCCTCCACACCAGCGGGGCGATGGATCCCCATGAACTGGAAGCTGCCGGCTCTTCCTGAGGATCTGGCCTCAAAACAAACAACGGGTGGGAAATTGCTGGCTGCCTTTCACCCATTTCCTTTATTTTACAGAAGAAACAGACCACAAGGTTCAAGTTCACATCAGCGATGAGGCGAAAGACCTCCATGCCCGGGTGTGCAAGCTCTTGAGCTTCGTGGGACATCGCATTCTCTTGGGAGATGTTCCCTGCAGAATCCTCGTCGACATCTTAAAGCAAAAGGAGCAATTTAAGAAGTTACTCTGCGCCTGTGGTAAGTTTGGAGTTTCCAACTTGGGTGAGTTTTCATAGCTACGTGGCCACCAGGAGATGCAAGTCCTCCAAATTCTACTCCAACGAGGCGGTTTGGGGGACAAGTCTTCCAAGTTCTGCTCTGACGAAGTGGTTTTGGGGGCAAGTCCTCCAAATTCTGCTCCGACGAGGCGGTTTAGGGGGCAAGTCTTCCAAGTTCTGCTCTGACGAAGTGGTTTTGGGGGCAAGTCCTCCAAATTTTGCTCCAACAAGATGGTTTTGGGGGAAAGTCTTCCAAATTCTGCTCCAATGATCAACTTTATCCATCTTTTGGGAAGTTTTGAGGGCAAGTCCTCCAAATTCTGCTCCAACAAGATGGTTTGGGGGGCAAGTCCTCCAAATTCTGCTCTGATCATCAACTTTATCCATCTTTTGGGCAGTTTTGGGGGCAAGTCCTCCAAATTCTGCTCTGACGAGGTGGTTTTGGGGGCAAGTCCTCCAAATTCTGCTCCAAAGACGCTGCAGGCTTTCCGCAAACTGAAACACTCATCTATTTTCTGATGGCAGGGGTTATGTCCCCTGCAGCTTTCCTCTTTCCAAGGGGTTCTCCTTCATATCTGGGTCTTTTTTTATTTTTTCCCAGATCCCTCTTTTTCCAAGTGCATAACGGAAGTGGTGGACGTCAGGAAGCAGGAGTTTGAGGAACTGGAAAAGCAGAAGAAGCAAAGATGCTCTTTTCTCCGCCTGTGCCGTGGCATAGAGGACATGATCAAAGGTACCGGTTGGGTCAATAGAGCTTCTTCTGTGGTTCTTGAGTGGGGAGGTGTCTCCTAAAATATGGAGTCTCCCAGTGGGTGGGAGGGAAACGCAATGGGGAAACCCGTTGACTTTGGGGCTCGTCTTTGTTGGTGGAGAGAGACGTGACATGAGGTCCTTCTCGTTGCTCCCACCCGGTTTAGTGGACAGAAGCATCATAGAGAAAAGCATCGATGACAACGAAAGCCTTAAGGATCAGACATCGGTGAGGAAGTTCTCCATCGATGGCAGGAACGAAATGGAAGTGCACGTCCTTGCCAGTTACAGTGACATGATGCGAAAGCTTTACACCGTGGAGAGAAGCTACTGCTTCCGTCGGCTGTGGAAGATGAGAGCAGAGCAAACCAAAGCCGCGATGCTCGAAGATCAAGTTTTCTCCGTGGAAGATGTTCAAGAAAAAATTTATAAGCCAGCCATCGCTGACTTTCAGAAAACCTACCTGTCCCTCAAAGACTTCTCCATCACCCTTGGGACCCTGCAGAGCCAGTTTGAGCAGCTGCTGGAATACAAGGATCAGCTCCTGGAGGAGCTCCAAATCATGGAGCGCTGCGAAGGGCCAGGGGGTGGAAAAGCTTCCTGGATCGCGGGTGCAGTGGAGAGGATTGACAACTACCTGACCCTCTCGAAAGTGGTGAACACGGCCAAGCTGATTGACGCTCTGAGGCGGCAGCTTTGTCTGGAGGGGGACTTCCAGATTCTCAGCGACCTGACGAAATACGTGCGTGGTTGATGCATGGGGGTCACGGTCGAGCGTTCTTGGGGAACCCAGGGAGGCCACCTTGCGGCAGCTTCTGATTGAATCCTATCAGGTTGCTCCTTAACTTGAGCGATGGGCTGAGGGAATCACTTCCCGTTGCCTCACCCTATTTCTCGTGGAGGCCTAGAGGGAGGAATTCAAGAGCAGGCGTGGGTTTGAGGCTGAGGTCTCCCCTCGTTTTGGGGGGAGGAGGGAGAACTGCGCTGCTTTCCCGCTTTTTTTCCCAGCAGATACAAAGTGTTTTTTCTTTTTTTTTTTCCCCAGAAAGAGCAGGAATTCAGGAACAAGCGACTCGATTTCATGACCCAAGACTTAATGAAGGTGAAAAACATTTTGAGTGACATTCCCCAAGGAGTCCTGGACTTTTTGAGGGAACTTCTGGAATGCGCAAGGAAAGGCTTTACCTCCTGGATCAAGACCATCATAAAAGGTGGGCTGGGGGGAAGGAAGTCATCAGAAGCAGCGACAGAGGGAGACCACTTAGACCTTGCCACCGTACGTCAATCAGAGCAGAGAAATTCCTCACACGTGTCTCTTATTTTCCTTTTTTCTTTATTTCCCCCCTCCAGACAAGACAGAAATCCCCGTATTCGTGGAGCTGGCATCGATTTCTGCAGGTGAAAATGACATGGATATCGACAGGGTCAGCTTTTTCCGCGACGCCATGACTGCTTCTGCCCCCATTGTATTGGACCTGGGGCCCACTGCTGGGTTTGAGCAGTTCTCAGAAGCTCTGGCCTTCATCAGAGAAGCCATCGAGAAAGACAGGAAGCTTCCCAAGAAGCTGGTGAGTCTTCAAGTCCTGTGTCCAAAAGTCACTTGGACCTTTGTTGGGAGGCCAAGTTGCTCACGTGTTGGTGCCTGAGGGCATTTAAGGTGGTTTCCCCAGGACATCCCTGCAGGCCTGGCAGGACCTGGGCAAAGGCTGTGCTCACAACAACCCCCCAGAAAGCTA